TTTTTTTTTTTTTTTTTTTTTCCTCAGAGAGCGTGAAATATTTGGTTTCTTGGGCGAAATTCCTGGCCAGTTCAAATCTGTACTCTTTCTCTTGCTAGGCCCTTTGTAATAGGATGTCAGGATTGGATACTCTACCTTTGAAGTCTTTGTCCATAATGTATGTGTTCTGACGTCTATCCATTCCACAAGCACCTGTATAAAAGTAATGTAAGAAAAGAAAGTAGAGGGCATGAGGTTTACTTAGACTACTATGGGTTTTGTTTTTTTTTCTCCTATTCAGGAAATAGTTGTTTACTGCTACATTATTCTGAGTTTATCCTAAGTCATGTCAAGCTACAGGAATTCATAAAAGGCTCATAGCATCAAAGGGCCCTGTTACAGCACCCTCCTGGCCTAGTCAGCCTTCCCTTTAACCTTCACCCTAGGGACAAGCCTTTCAGGAGATCATAACAGACCTCCAGGTGCCACCTGCAGTCACTGTAGGGAAAGTCCTTTTCCTTGAGGATATATGACATTCCAAATCTCCTTTCTGTTGGGTTTGGAAGGGAGGTAGAGACAGTTTCTCACCTCTGTCAGATCTGGCCCTGCCACTCCTCCCCTGGATCCAAGGCTCAGCTGAGGGGAGACAGAGCCAGGTGGCTGGGGTTCTTGTGTCATCTTTACAGGAAGAACATCCTTTCATATCCACAGATTTGTTTTTGGAAGATGGATTATTTGTGCAGAATTGAGACTTGTCTTTGAAAAACATTGCCAGTGGTTTTTAGCCCCAAGGAATTCTTTTTCCCTTTGCTACCAGGTTTTTTTTTCCCTTAGCCAGAGGCAGGATATAAAGCTTCAAGGACCACGGTTTGGTTCTTTGCTAATGGCAATCCCAGAAGAGAAACTGCCTTGCATTTCTAGGTTGGGACAGTAATGGCTCTGGCTCAGTCAAGGTCACCTTTTTTTTCTTCTGAAAGCTTTAACTGAGGAGATACTACCAGGCAAGGTATGCAACAGTGCTTCCTGATATAATTTGATTCCACTGACTTGCCATTGCTGATACCAAGCACCAGCCCACTTCTGTTTTGAGCCCTCCTCCAGAGGTCCCCAGGGGAATTTGCAGGGGTTCACTCCTGTGGCTGCCTTCTACATAATATTTACTGAGTGTTCCACCTGAACAGCTCAGTGGGAGAATTGTCTAGAAGGCCCAGAGGAACCTGGGTGCCTCAGAAACAACATGCAACAGTCTGTGCTGGCATTAGCTTAACACTATACACCAGACAATGGCTTCCTTTGCTGTCTCTAGAGGGTGGCTAGGCTGTTTATCTTTTTCCTTTTTATAGAACAGGAAATGGACCAAGAGAGTAGCAGAGACTTGTTTGAGACCATAACAAGTGAGAAGTTAAGGTGCAACTAGAGCTCACATCTCCCCCAAGAATTGGCTCCATCTGGCCACTAGGCTGCCTGTATGTAAGCTACCAGAGTACTGTGTGTGGTGCTCCTGCTGTGTGGTGCGGGGAGAAGATCTGGAGCAGGGAGGAATTGGGTCTCAGCACAGAGGATGTTCACCATGTGAAAAGTAGTACAGGGTGGTGGTGGGTATGTGTTGGAAGCAGGGGTTTAATTGGTGGGTTTATCAAATGCCCTGGCCACTGTTGGGGGGGGGCACAGCCAAAAACACATGGCCACAGGGTCTTTGCAGCCCACACCTGCTTGACAAATAGATGAATTCAGAGTCTTTACTCTTCCTAGTGCTGCTGGACCCAGGAACCTGCAGGGATTAGTTGGGCTGCTGTTTGCTTTGAGCTGTAGAAGGCACCTGGAGCCTGAGCTCAGGCCCTGACTTGTCCAGTGCCCTAGGCCTGGCCCCAGGGTGTTTGTAGGGAGGCCACATTCTCAGTTTGTTCACGGCACTCATTCCTTCAGCTCCTCTGTAACTCCTGCCCGCAGCCAAGTCTCCTTTTCACACCTCTCCCAAGCCACCACCAGGTGAGCATAGATACTGAGCAGTAGTCCTGCCCCAGCTTCTCCAGATCTCTGCTTGAGAACCCTACTCAGTGATCTGGGAGAGCTTGGCTTGGCTCCTCGGGGGATCTGGGGTCTCTCTGAGGGTCATTGGGCTTTTTGGCTAGAGCCCACTCCCCAAAGGTGCCACCATTCCCCCATCATTTCTCAGTGGTTTGGGGCTGCATTTTGTGCACTGTAAGGAAGGAGTTCATTTATATTGTTTATTCACCTAACGTAACCCAAATTGTTCCCACCCACTGGCTGCAAAGAGTGATGGGGAGGACTCAGACCAGTTGTCTTTGCGTAGGACAGTGGGTGGGCAGATCAGTCATGTTGGAAGGATTAGCAGCAAGCATTCTGGGACCATTGAGTGGGGTGTACAGGGAGGGCAACGGGGTGGGTGCTGGGTCTGGTCTGAGGAGTGGAGGGTAGAGTCGGGGTCTGACCTGGTGAGTGTGGCTCAGCGGGGCGGCTGAGGTGTCTAAGTTCAATGTAGAAGTCCTCGGGCGGGTACCTGGCTTCCAGGGCACTGATCTGGAAATGGGAGTCTAGTGAGAGGAATGACAGGAGGAGCCATTATTCCCAGGGCCTGGTATGGCAGAAGGGGGTGGGATGTACATGAGGGGCCAAGGGTCAGGATGGGGCAGCCTGTGTGTAACATATACAGGGTCCAGGTGGGCAGAGCTAGAGGTGTCTTCCTTGTTCCCTCCCACCCTCCACAGAAATTGGTACCCAGCAGGGCAAGGACAAGAAGCCCCAGAAAGGAGCACCGTGGTAGGAACTGGATGAAGTAGAGGTCCCTTCCCAGATGGCAAGTGTAACTTTTGCATCCACCAGAAGTCCCCATATCCCAGCCCTGGCTGTCTCCCTTGTCCCCCTGTCAGAGCTCCCACTCTATTCTCACTATTGAAATGAAAGGGGCTCTGGCCTTTATTCGCTGATGAGCCAAAATAGGGGCTTGTTTCCTCCTGCACCCCTTCACCCCAGAGGAAACCATACTGGGGACATGTAACCCTAACCTTTTCCCTCCAGGCTGGGCCAGGGTCCCTCAGTAGGGGAGGATGGAGTGGGGCATGATGGGGAAGGGGCACTACTGACCTAACACGTTCACATAGCTGTAAGGGGTCCAGCCTGCTGTGTCTCTGTCAAGGGACTTGTTACTGAGCTGTTTGGAGAGCAGGAGAGCCAGTTAAGACCTAGTACCCCAGGTGCCCCCTCCCCAGCCATCACTTGGCCCAGCCTCAGTGTGCCCACCCTCAGTGATCCTGACCTACTTAGGCCCTGGCCATGGACCACTGAGGCAAGAAGAGGGCTAGGTGTCCCATGACAGGTCACCATGTTGTGGCTGAGGCCGAGTCAAGCTACCTGGGCAAAGCTATAGGGTTCCCAGGGCCCTTGCTGCAAAGGGGCAGGAGTAGGGCCTCTGAATGGCAGGACAGCTGGGTGGGCTGAGCTGTAGGAGAGGGTGCTCTGGGAGGGTCTCAACTGTCACATAAGGCCCTGGCCATTACAGGGAGGTGCCAAGGCCACCTGTAGCAGTGCTACCACTTCCACCTGACCTGGGCCCAGAGCATCTCCTTTGCATGTGATCGTGGGAAAGACCCAGGGCAGGTGTCTTGAGGGTTGTTCCTTCCCTGCATTCTCATAATGGCTTGTGTCCTTACTGTGTCGTCATGGCTGGCTGCCTGCCTCTGTAGGGTGACCCTGACTGCCTAGCAGGCTGAGGGGGCCCTGCCCCCCCCGGGGTAAGGTGAGCCGAGCCAGGTGTCACCAGGTGGGCTACTGTGCAGTAACTCTGGTCTCTGATAGGGTGGCTGGCGTGTGCCAGTTAGACTGGGACCAAGAGGGATATGGCCACTGGAGCCTTTTTCCTTCATCCTGGTCCCCTTTGTATCTAGCCTGCTGCATCCTGGATAATGTGGCTGTGGCTAATCAAGGTCTCCTGCTGGGAAACTTGGAATGGCCTCTCAGCTCCCTGCTCTGCAAGCCGAAAACTGGACCTGGGAACAGGGGTCTGCGTGGAAGAGGCATGTAGGAAGAATGGCTAGAGTGGTGGGCTATGTGGGGCTGAGGGCCACAGAGTTGGCCTATGGCCCTGTGTGTGCCCTCAAGAGCACATGCGTGTCCCAGGAAAACAGCTGAGGGTGACCACAGGGTGTTGCCTTTGAGACTATCGTCTGTGATCGTTGCTGCAATGTCTGTGGCAGGAAGCCTGGTCCCTGGGCTGGTGGTCATATCTGGGGGCAGCCAGGGAGGAAAGGATTCCCAAAGCTCTAGGGCAGGGGCCTAGAACATGAAAGCTCTGCTCCTGACCCAGGATTGGTCATGAGCCAGGAGTCCTCGGTGGCCCATTGCCCACCGCTGCTTCTGTGTGTGTGACAGGAAGTGCACCATGTGGGCCTACCACGCGTTGCCCTCGGGGATGTTCTTGCTCATTTTCCCACCTTCCACTCTGCCTGATACTGGTCCTGGCATTTTAACAGGGCAAACTCCACACTGTCCTTGTGTATTTTCCGAGCCATCCCTACCTGCAGGCCTGTGACTGAGTAAGCCTGGCTGCACTGCGAGCTGTCACAGAACACCGTTTATGGGAATGCTGGCCGGCCTGAGTTTTAGGCTCCACTCCCATGTGTTGGATCAGATGGTAACAGATGGTTGTATACTGATAAGTGTTATGTCCAAGTTGAAGAGACACTGGTTACCGAGTATTGGTAGTTAAATCATTGTGCAGATTGCACACCTCTACAGTGACTTGGATAGGTGGTACAGTATTCTGATTACATGTGTTGGCATGTGGCAGAAGTGACTACATGGTATACCTGGTTATGTGTGATAAGTCTTCCTTGACGATCACAAGCTAGTTCCACACTGCTGCAGTGGTATGTTCCACTGAGCCATGCTGTGGGTTGTTACATGTGATGCCTACGTGGCACTTGTTGCCTGCACATAACATACTTGCTCCCTTTTATGTGTACACATGTACCATGAACCACAGGTCTGCTCTTTAATGGACTGGTTCCCCATGGACCTTGCATGTAGGGAAGCGGGGGTGTGTGTACTTCTTTCCTGGGCAAAGCAGAGGGCTACAGGAGACAGTGGATGGGGGCTAGAGAATGGGGGCCCGGTACCTTGGTGGGGCTGTTCCTGTCCAGAGTGCTGGCCTGGCTGGTAGCAGGCCCCCTGCACGCCAGTGTGTGGTAGCTGGAATTGGAAAAGCACTGGGCGTGGCTGCTACTTTGAGACAAATCTGGGAAGAGAACAAGGTGCCATATTCCATCATCCACCTGCTCCGGGCCCAGATATCCCCAAAGCTAATGCCTGGGCCAGGCAGCCTGGAGAGGACCCTTCAGAGAGGCAGCCAAGTTCCCCCTCCCCAGCTTCCTGGTGTCTGCTACCCCTGGAGGAATTTGGAGTCTGGTTTGCCCTTTGCCGGGTGCCAGCCCTCCCTGCAGCCTGCAAATGCCCAATGTAGAGGGCATCAGGAATGTTACCATACAGGGCTGAGCCTCTCATTCCCCCAAGGGTGAGACCCAGTAAGAGTCCATAAAGAGCCCCACACCTATGGGTCCCAGCCCTTCCCACATGCTCTTCTGAGAGGCCAGGGAATATCAGAGATTTGGCATGGGAACCCCAGCCAGACTTGCTTGCTGTAAACACAGAAGAGAATCCCCAGGAGGACCCGGTTTTCATCAGAGGACACTGGCTTTGGCTGAAACCCAGGGGTGTCAACACAGGCCAGGAGCCTTTTGCAGGCAAGGTCTGCACCTGGGCCACCTGATCCTGTAGCTCCTGTGGTCGCCTGGAGCTGGCCTGCAACAGGAGGCACTTAGGGTTGGCTGAGACAGTCAAGGCTAAGCACAAGGCATGGGAGGCTGTAGGTCCCAGCAAGCCCACTGCCAGGAGCTGCCATCCAGTGCTAACCCAGGCGGGCCCAGCCCGTCAGAGACCAGGAGGACGGGAAATTTCTGAACATTTTGACTTCTGGTTTAGCCAATTATAATGCATAGAAGCCTTATCTCCAAGTTGGCAGTCCAGGTCTACGGGAGGAGGGGTCTGGCCTGGGAGCCACAGCCTACCCCAGTGAGACTCCCAGACAGAATGCCTACTGAAGTCACCACTGCAGTGGGCTCCAGTACACTGGCCAGCACCTCTCCCACGTCAGGCCCCACCCTCTTCCAGAACGAAGAGCCTCCGCATATCTCTGGGAGGGGTGGCCTGAGGCTTCTCCAGAAAAGCTGAAATGGACAGGCCTGGGGCTCTAGCATCCACATGTGCACCAGTGGCCCTGGAGGGAGATGTTCTCTGAAGCTCTACCAAGGGGGATGGGGTCACCTAGGAGAACAGCTGCTCAGAGATGTGGTCTAGAACCCCAGCGACCTTTCCCAGTTAAGTTCCTATTCCCCAACCCATGGCTCTAGGGTGACCACACTCACCCTGTAGCGTCCCCAAGGTTATCATGCGCTCCTCCTGGGCTGTGTGGCTGAGGCAGAAGTGGGAAGCTGGGGCAGAGCCCTCACCTGAGAGGGAGTAGTCAGTGCTGGTCATCCGCATGGCAGGGGTGTAGGAGACACGGGGAGCCAGGTCTTGGCCTTTCTCTTGGTGCCGGCGCCGGCGCCAGGCAAACAAGCCCAGCAGAACCAGCATGAGGAACAGCAGAAGGACGATACCCGTGACGGCGCCCACCGAATGCCGCTCTGCACCCAGGGCTGGGCTGATCTTGGTGTAGGGATTCAGCTCCTCCATCATGAGGGCAGCTGTGGACAGAGGGAGGGGAGGAGGCAGGGCCTGAGCCTGACCTGCGGCCACACACTCTTCAAATTGCCTGGGCCCGGCCTGGCTTCCTCCAGCCCCTCTAGTGTTAGGAGACCCGGTTCTGGTCTTGGCCCTGTTCTTCAATCTGTTCTACCTACCTCAACTCTAGCCCTACCTGAGTTTCTTCAACTTCCTAAGAGTCTAGAGTTCTAGGTCATGATAAGCACAAGTGTGACGGTGCATGAAAAATACAGTTTGAATCATTCACTGAATCTTTGTGACAGCCCTCTGAAAAGGGGACGGTCTCCCTTTCTGCTGATGAAAATGGGGTCACCACAAGGTTAGGGAATGTGCCCAGGATCACACAACCAGTAAATGACAGGCAGGAAAAACCATGCCAACTCCTCTCCCTACCCAGCGCTGTGAGAGCCCCAGTCTACCTGTTTGTTAACACAGGGACAACACTACCACCTCCCTTGGGTTGTGAGCACCCAGTGATAAACTGGCAATGAAAGCTGGGCGTAGTAGCACATGCCTGTAACCCCAGCACTCTGGGAAGCCGAGGCAGGAGGACTGCAAATTAGATCTCAGTCTGGGAGAAAAGAAAAAGTTAGGCTCATCCCTAATGTAAATAAATGAAAGCTGGGAGTGCCCTGCCTTTGAGCCCAGGATTACTGCCCACAAGGCGCCTGTTGACTGCATATGTGTGGCTCTTCCCCTCTGCCAATAACGTAGTCCAGGGGGCTGTCCTCGGCCTTGGCTGCTGCTAAACACAGCTGCGCAACAGTACCCGGGGGGTAAATGTGCTGTGTTCCTATTCTCAGAACACGGAGGAAATGATTGCAGGCTCCAATTCTGTGATGTGGGTAACTTAAAGCCCATTCTCCTTTTCCTCCCTGGCCCTGGCACCAACAATACCGTCCCTTTCGGCTTTGCAGCACTTTAAAGAGAAAGTGACAGATTCTGAAGTGCACACACGTGCCAGGGGCTGTACTGAGTCCTTCACTCAGTGTCTCGGCATGGTTACCCAGCTCCTCCATTAGGTGTCTGACCTCAGAACCAGGGCTAGGATGGAGCCATTTTGGGCTCCTTGGCCTTCCGGGGAACCTCACGTCCTGGGGGAAGACCAGGATTGATCTCTTCCTACTTTGCGTGTGGCATAACAGGCTGGCAAAAAGAAACAACCCGCCTAAGGGCTTGTCACAGCTAACAGCAGAACTAGAACTTGACAGGTCGTCTCGACTTGGCTGGCTGGCTTCCCATAGCAGGAGCTGTGGGTGCCCTTGCCAGGCTTACAGGACACTGCCTGTGACACCCACTTCCTGCTCTCCCCACCAACATGAAATGTCTTATCAGACCCCCTGCACCCCATGCGCTACCTTGGTCACACCTGATGCCTTTGAATCCAGGGCTGCAGTAACAAGTGCCAGTGACGTGGTCACAGGTGGCATTGTTCATGCACTCACACAGCTGCTGACATCCATAGCCAAAGGTTCCTGGGGCACATCCTGTGTGGCATAAAGAATGTGGGCAGACTGAAAGACAGCCACTCCCTCCTGTCCACAGGAGATACTTGTGGTGACAGGTAACAGTCCTGTGTGAGGACACAGGGCAGGAGGAGAGGCCCTCACCCCTACTTCTCATGCTACACGTGTGAGCATCAACCTCCATGTGCCAGGCCTCAGGCTGGGTGCCATGGGAGCCTTAGAAGCACGAGAACCCTCCTCACCCCTGCAGGTCCTCCGCCCTGCCTTATCCCAAGTGCAGGAGGAAGTTCTAGCACTCAGGCGGGACCTCCAGTCTTGTTCCTTTGGAACTGTCTGAAAGGGAAGAGAGTGGGACATAGAGCCCTGCCTGAGATCTCCTGATGGTCAGTGGGCCTTGTGCTGCAGGAGGCTGAGATCTGGCACTGATATCCGGGACGGGGCGCGGGCAGCTTACTCTGTTCACAATGGCGTCCAGTGAAGCCTGTGCGGCAGGTGCACTTGCCACTGATGTGGTCACAGCTGGCGCCATTCTGACACTGGCACACACGCCCGCAGTCCTTCCCAAAAAATGCTGCTGGGCAGCCTGGAGAAACAAGACCCCTGGTCACAGGGCCAGCACAACTGCAGAGTGGCAGCCAGGGCCTGTCCTGTGCCACCTCTGGTGGAGCATGGGGTGAAGGCTAGTGAGACCCTGCTCCAGCCTTTGCCACCCGCTGGACCCTCATGCTGACAGGGTAGGGCTAGGGCTAGGTGGCCCTTCCAACCCAACCAAGGGCTCTTGGAACCAGAGGCCAGCTTGGGACTCCTTGCACAGCCACAGGCTGTCCCTCCTACTGTCCAGGAGGACCTGGTCCTGGCGATCACTGGGGAACCTCACAGCCCTGGCCTTCCAAGACCCTGTGCCTGTTAACCCCTTGCTTGACTCCAGCTCTGAGGCCCAGCTCTCTCCTCCTACAGTGGCAGGCCCGGGCTATGCCTACAGCAGCCAGTAGGCTGCAGCATGACTTCGGGAGTGGCGGGGAGGGCAGGCTTACGCTGTGTGCAGAAGAGTCCAGTCCAGCCTGGGGTGCAGCGGCAGGCCCCGTCCTCAGCGCTGCAGCTCGCCCCGTTGTGGCAGCTGCAGGTGTGGAAGCAGGCAGAGCCCCAGAACCCTGGTGGGCATGCTGGGGTGGGGCGGGGGAATGCAAGTCAGAGCCAAGACTCAGGATGGCTCTGGGTGACACTTCTGGCCTTCAGGGTCTGATGCACTGTTTTCAGATTTCCTCAGCTCACCTCTTGGCCCGGTCACCCAGGATTCCCTTCAGCCCCGATTCTCTGCCACTTGGGGATTTTGGGGACTAACTCAGCATGGCTCTGAGGCTCCTGGCCCTGCCCGTGGGGACTGATATAGAACAGGGTGTACATGCTGTGGGTTACAGTGCACACTGTACTGACTTCCTTCAGTGGGTGGGGCCTTCTGAGCTGCTGAGCCCCCTGAGGATGGAGCCCAAGTCTCCCCATCAAAATAGAATCCCTTGGCCCAAGCCACCTAACTGGGGCCTCCCTGCAGGTACCAGCTGGTTCCACTGGTTCTCACCTGTCAGACAAGGGGCTCCATCCTCAGATGGGCCTCACTGGCCAGGCTGTACCTTTGCATCAGACTGGGTGGAGCTTACATGAAGGCCCCTGTGACTCTCTGCCTGGATTTGAGGCCCAGGAACTCAGCCAAATGGACCACCCACAGGGCGCCTCACTTCCACATCCAGACTCCAGCATGCCAACTCTTGTTCCCCGGTCCTACCCTGTGGAAATCAGTGGCTGCTCCTTGCTGGTGCTGATGCACTGTTTAATCCCAGCATCAGTGGCACTACCAGGAGTATCAGTGCCTTTACACCAGCAGTGAGCGTTACCCAGGGTTGACCCCAGACATTCACCGTGTTGGCTCTAGAGCTCACTGGGACTCAGGCAGGGATTCCTATCTGCAGCAGGAGGTGGAAGCACCAGGGCATACAGGGTCAGGGCATTCGCCGGGGCAGCAGCTTACCCTGGGAGCAGTCCTTGCCAATCCATCCGGGGAAGCACTGGCAGGAGCCGTCGATGGGGCTGCAGGTCCCATTGTTGGCACACGAGCAGAGCTGGGCACAGTCCTGCCCAAAGTGTCCTCCAGCACACACTGTGGGCACAGGGCAACCTGGCACCTGCCCTCCTACCCTTGTTCCTTAGACCACTGCCCCTGCCCCACTGCACCAAGCTTCCAGGGCCAGAGCCATGAGCACCCTGGGGTCAGGAATCTGGACAGAACTACATACTGGGGCACCCCACCACCTTCTCCATTTGCACATAAGGGAGTGCCCCCTTCGGCTGAGGTCCACAGACAGAATTACTTGACGTAGGTCCCACCGAGGGGTGAGGCTGGGCATCTCACCACTGGACTCTTGAGTCCAGTGCTCCCTGTGCCACCGCCCCCACTCCAGCATCCCTGAGCCCACGGCCACAGGGTGGGCCATGCTCACAGCTGGGAGAAAAGGGCAGGACACAGTGCGGCAGTTCCACCTGCAATGTGACTGTTGCCGGACTGGCTGCAAATGTTGCGTCCACTTGTCCTCCGCTCTGCTGCCCAAGCCTCGGCTCAGTGTTCCCCTGCGCTGGAAACCCATCTGGGTTCTAAAGGCCTCATCCTCTGCTGAACTTCCACGTTTCTCCCTTGGAGTCAACTGTAGGTGTCAGTCACAGCTCCGCTTGGAGAAGCTGCCCATGGATCCCAGGGGGTACTTCCTTGCTCCTTTAGGAGCAGGCGTGAGTGTTATCAGACACCAGCCTATCTCTGGTTCCCTTCAGCCCACGCCCCTTGCTCCTACAGGGTGGGCTCTCTAAAGCACTCCCTCTTAGTGGCACTCCTGTGCACTGCTCCAGTAGCCTGAATGGCTCCCCACTGCCCCAGGATAAATCCCTGGATCTTACAGTCCAACACCTAACCGCCCTTACCTGGGCTGTCTTTGGCAGCCTCTCTCCTTCCTAGATGCATGATAACCACGTAACATTTCCAAATGCACCCTGGAACTTGGTATGCTTACATGTACGAGGCACTGTTCAAAGTGCTTCATGACTATTAGTTGACTTAATCTTGTGTGTGGGGGGGTGTTGTTTTTTTTTCATTATAGTTGACAATCTTACAATACTCATATTCTCACCATTACTTCCTCCCACTAACTGGACAGATGAAACTGAAGCACTGAGAGGTTAAGCAACTTGCCCAAGGTCACACAGCCAGAAGTTCTATTGCTTACTAAGTGCATTTGAGCAAGCCATATCACCACTCTGTCTGTTCTCATCTTTGGAATGGACCCTGGTGAAAAGCTACAGCTGGTCTGGCTGACGTGGGCATCTACAGGAGACTAAGACCTTTTCCTCCCATCTCCTGAAAAGCAAGTCCGGCCTCTTTGCAGCCTCTAGGAGGTATTTAGTTGGGGAGTCCTGGCTTCCTATGGCCAGCAGGGTGCCAGAGCCACTCCGTCCACCCCTCAGCTAGCTCTGAGCCTCTAACAAGACAGTCACATCTTTCAAGTCTTCACACACACACACACAGCCGACAGATTCACCCACAGAGCTGCTAATGCGATCGGCCTAATACATTAATTGGTCCACTTCTTAGCCGAATCATGAGTCGGTCAGAGACAAGGGGCAGTGAAGGGGGGCGGGGGCTGGTGGAAAGAAAACATCTGGTTATATTTAATCTATGTTCAATGATTCTGGAGAAGCAATGTCTGTAATGTGTAACTCAGTGGAAAGCCAGTCATTAGAAAGTGTCAGTTCAATTTTTTACAAGGTTTGAGGCTTAACCAGGGCAGTTGCCATTAATAGCAAACTCTGTTAGATCTATATGTGGAAAAGACTCATTAGGCCAATGGGCAATAAATCAGCACGGGATGCGAGAGCGACTCCTTGGGCTGCCTACGTTCAAATTTAGACCGAGCCTAACTGTATCGATGGCCGGGTCTCCTATGTTTAATAAGTAAACCTCCGCATGTCGGGTGATGATTAAACTGTCCTGGGAGGGCTGCAAGCAAATGAAACTGTCACATACGTCTCCCTGGTGCCCATACGTCTCATGACCTCAAAGCCTCACGGAGTAAACTTTCTACTCATACATATTAACATCCCTCAGACCCAAACAGCCCAGCTCAGCAGTGATTATTTATCAGAAGAATGGGTTCCCCTGGGAAAGTAGTGAGCGCTCAGTCAAGCAAAGTATTTAAGCAGAGGCCAGATGAGACACTTGCCTGGGTGACCTTCATGTTGCCTTTAGCTCCCCGTTTACCTTATCCTAGAGATTCTTTTCTCCTTACAAGTTCAGGTGTAAATTCTGCAAGCTGGAGGTCAGGGGTGTGTGCAAAGCTCTTTCTGAAGGCCCCAGTGCCCTCCTGGGCCCCTTGTCCCATCTCTGCCCACTACATCCCGCAGCATGCCCTGGCTCAGCCTCACGCAGCCTGTCTACCACCTAGAACAGATGCCTTTCTCCCCGCCATCTGCACAGCCCCCGAGCCAGCCCCGGATCCACACTGCCCTGGGGTGATGTTGGGAGGGATTCTGAGGCTGAGACAAGAGGGTGTGTGGCAAGGGATCAGAGATGCTGAGTGCAAGGGCAGGAGGAGTGGGAAGCTGCCCTCTCCAGCCAACCCCAGCACCAGCTCCTCGTGGTCCAGTAGGCTTTACCACCAGGTGCTCTTCTGGTGTGGGGCTCATCTGTGCTCAGTTCATGTTCCTTCTCTTTAGCACGGGCATAGGAGTGTAAACCTGTCTTCACCCTTGCTACGTGAGACCACAGATAGGTCACATCCTGCTTTGTTTCTGTCTTGCTGGGTGGCGCTCAGTCTGTGGAAAGAGACCTGCTTCCTGCAGCTAGAAGGAGCTACTTCCACAGCGAGCCCTTCCTGCAAGGTTCTCCTTCCAGGGCCCTCGTCCCCCCACCCTGTTCCCTGCTTCCCCAGACAGTACCTTGGTTGCACAGGGCTCCAGAGAACCCCGGGAGGCACTCACAGAGGCCGCTGATGTGGTGGCAAGGTCCGCCACTGTGCACACACAGGGGGCAAGGCTGGGCACAGCTGTGTCCATAGAAGCCAGGGGGGCAGACTGAGGGTGAAGGGGAGACAGTGGTTAGCAGCCCAAGGGGCCCCGGCCAGCCTGGCCTCCCCTGCCATCCCACATTCCAAAAGTAAGCGCTCTTTGTTACACCATGGAGGGCCTGTGCCTTTTGGAAGAGAGGAACTATGACCTGATCCTGTTTTTACCAAGAAGCGATTGAGCTGGGGTGTGAACTTGGAGACAGAGCAGCCAGCTCAGGGACAGAGGGGACTAGCTGGACCTCCCTGGGGTCCCAGCTCCAGCCAGGCAGGGCTGGAAGAGCTGCTGAGGTCTTCGAGAGGGGGCTCACTCAACCTTACTTCTCTGGCACAAGGGTCCTCGGAAGCCAGGGGCACACTCGCAGCTCCCATCCTCAGGAGAGCAGGATCCACCATTCTCACAGCTGCAGGACACAGAGCAGTTGGGGCCCCAGCGGCCAGGTGGACACGTGCTGTCGCAGCGGATGCCTGTGGGCCAGAGACAGCCTGGGGTCAGAGGAGAGGATGGGGGGACGGGTCTGATGCAGCACCAAGAGGGGATCCAGGAGGACATCCAGGGAGCTGGGCAGGGAGGCTCCCAGGAAGAAGCAGTGCCCAGAGGCAGCAAGGCACTGGGTGGGCAGAGGAAGCCAGGCGTGCCAAGGGCAGGAGGCAGGAAGAATCACATCTTGGAGAAATGACAACCTCACGGCGTGGCCAAACCGTAAAGTGCTGCATATGGCTAAGCAGGAGAAGAAGACAGACCAGAGACAGGACCAGGTGACAGAGGACCTCTGGTGTTTTTGCTGCCTTAGCTACCATCAAAAGCAGACCTGACAGAAATCTACTAGGGGCAAGTTAGTGGCCTTAAAGTCAGGAGTGGTGGTGCACAACTGTAATCCCAGCATTTGAGAGGCTGAGGCAGGATGACTGCCATGAGTTCGAGGCCAGCCTGCACTACATAGTTGTCTCAAAAAACCCAAAACAACACACAAAAGTTAGTGCCCTTCTGGGGGCTGCAGGGGCTCAGAGAGTAGGTGCGATCTTTTGACAGTCCTCAGGGTGATACGTGTTTTATATCCTATGCAATACACACATACGTGTAACAGAAGCCACTTTAAAAAAAAATGCTACTTGTAATCCAACAAACTGATTTAAGGCCCCTCCGTCTAACAAAGAGCAGCCTGTAGGGGAGTAGATGGAATACCTCAAAAAGACAGAGGGTCGCAATCTACAGAGCCATCTCTGAGCTCAGGTGGAGGAAGTAAGTGCAGGAGTGACTCAAGATGAGGCTTGGAGAGGAGCAGAATTAATTAAAAAATGGCGTCTGCCTGGGACTGGGAGAGGTGGGGGATACTCGGGTCCAGTGAACAGACTCGCCCAGCCTAGCCGTGGACCAACTTGGATGCGGGCTGGGATCACCCAGGGCAAGCAGGGGAGACTGGAACGCCTGCTCCACAGGACCCTCCCTCGCCTCCCACCCAGAACTGTCTCAACTTCCCAGCAGGGTGGCAGCTTCAGGCCCTACTCTGGGAAGTGGGGGTGTAAGTGTATCCTGTTTCTGTTCAGACTGTAAACAGTTGCAGGGTCCCGCTGGGTCCTAAGATTGGACAATTATTATATTCTGGGACTGGTTCTGGGGGCCTGGGACTCCTGTCTGGAGTCCTTATCTGTCCTGTGAGCTCCCTGCAGCTCAAGCCATTGGGATCTAAGTGGGAGGAAGAGTCCAGGAGTCCCTCTTTGAGGAGTGCCAATTTCTAGATGGAACGGAACTTAGGTGTGACAGAAATGGGGCTGGCCTTGACCTTCTAGGAGCCTCCAGCTTTGGAAGTAGCAGTGTCACCATTACCTTCTTGGGCCCTGGTTCTCATGGTTCAGTAGGGATAATAATCCCCCTTCCCTGCTTACCCTGTGGAATCCCCTCACTTTAGTTTTCAGGACTCCTCTCTCCTCCCCACACACAGTCTGTATTTGTGGGTAAAGCTAAGGATATACACTCTGTGATCTCTAGTTCATGGTGAGAGGCCAGAAGCAGCAGCTTACATCCTTACTTCAGACACCTCCTCCCTCCAGGCAGCCCTCCTGGATATCTGCCCAGGGACGCAGCTTTGTCCCTGTTACTTCAATGTTTCCTACACGTGAGGCCTTTCTACCCCACCATCAATGAGAAGGCAAGAACCGCAGCTTACTGGCGGTGCTCCCCATGGGCAGATGCCACCGTGGTCATCTTTGCATGACCCATAGTAGGTGTTCAGCTCAGGACTGTGGACGGTGCTGAATATTGCTGTTTACTGCTGAGCCTGGCTCAATGCCAGGCACCAAAGAGCTGCCAAATAAAGACTCAGCGATTGCTTAAATACTAGCTGAGTGAATAAATGGATTCCTCATAAAATGCAATCCTGCCGCTCCTATCCTGCTGGCACTTAGGTCCTGAGGCCTTGGGCATTTCCCCTTTCCCACCTGGAGTGTAAGGAAGTTGGGGCAGATTTAAACCTCTACTTCAGGGAAAGCATGGCCGGTGAGAATGACAAAATGCTCATTGTCAGCAGCGAGGCAATGGCCGGAAGTAGGGGTTTGCATATGGCCACGATGAGCCAAGGCACGAAGTAGAGAGCCGGGGTGGGGAAGTCAGCGCTGACACTTCTTGGGGGGCTGAGTCACTTTCCTCATGGCGGAGACACAATGGCCAACACCCACAACTTAGAGGAGAGGTTGATGTTGGCTCAGTTTCAACCCCTGGTTGGTGGGCTCCAAGGCAGAGGGGCGTGGCAGACAAAGAGCTGCTCTGTCAAGGAAGCCCGGAAGCACAGCGGCAAGGGGAGGAGTCAGGGAGCAAGAGGCACCTTTCCGGGCCACGTCCCAGAGAGCCGCCTCCTCCCACCACGCCCTACCTCCTAACAGCACGTTCATCAGTGGAATGAGGAGGGCACCTCATACCGGTCATCTTCCCAAAGCCCCACCTCTGAACACAAGAGGCTTTAAGGACCTTCTAGATCTAAAGCACGGAGGTGGGCGGTGAGTGGGAGGGGCGCGCGGTGGGAGGCCCAGGACGCACCCCTCCCCCCCTCCTCTCCCTGGCCTCCTCCTGCTCCACACACCTCAAGACTTCAAATGCCTCTTTGAAAAGTTTGCAGGATCGCCTTTGGGGAAACTGGCTTTAGAACAGCAGAGGCCATGCTGAAAGGCTGTCCATCAAAGACAGAACTTTTAAGCAGCAGATGTCATTAAAATCTGACCAGCTAATTTGAGATTAAGGCAATGAAAACTTCAAGTGGATTTCCACCTGGCTCTAGCTGAGCGTGTGGAGTGACAGTGACCAAGCTGCAGCCTCATTCTATACCGAGGGGAGGGAAGCTGGGCAGGAAATGCCTTGGAGGAATGTCCCTGGCCACAAAGAAATGTCCCTGGCCACGGAGGAATGTCCTGGCCACAGAGGAATGTCCCCGGGCCTCACCTGCTTGGAAACTTTCCAGTTGTGGAGAACAGAAGCCATGCAGCAACCCGTTATGAATTATTTACCTGAGAACTGACACTGCCAGATGAGACTACTACTTCCTCTTTGCTCCCCACCCCACCCTGGGCCTGGCTGGCGGCATGCTGTACTGTTACCCAGCACTTCCTGTATCCGTGGCTTCCATGACTGAGCGCCTAGTGTGTGCCAGGCACTGTCAGCACACTGTGGTAGTAACCCCTCTAAACTTCAAAACCACCCTGCCGTTGGTTAGGAGGATTGTTGTAATTGTCTGCATTTTGTGGATGGAGAAATCGGGCTAGAGGACTTGACCAAGATCACAAACCCAGGCTGCCTGCTCACCAGCTTGTTATCCATATTGCAAGGGCGGCAGGCAGTGGACACAGTGGTGATTAAGGCAGATGCCTCCGGGGCAGATGGTCAAGTTAGGGAGGTGGATGATAAATACTTGAGTTGGAGGTCAAGGCCAGTTGTAAATTCTAGGAAGGACAAGTGTAGAGTAGCAGGAGATTAACAAATGGGCTTTTTAGCCTTGGTGGACGGTTTGTTACAGAGGAGCCATTTCAGAAGCAGTCACCTTTCACCTGAAACCTGGTGGACGGGAAGGAATTAGCAGGGCTAGGGTGTGGCTTGGTGGTGGGGCGCTTGCCTGGGTTTGATCCCCAGGATCACAGAAAGAGGAAGAGTTATCGGGTGAGGGGCCCAAAGAATGATTCAGGCAGAGGCGGGCATATGCCAAGGTCTGGAATTGGGACGGGTGACAAAAGTAAATCCCGGCCCTGGTGGCTGGAGTCAGTGAGTGACAAGAGGTAGCAGGAGAGGAAGGACCTGGGCAGGGCCAGGTCACAGGAAACCACTGAGGCACGTGGAGCAGGGTTGGTGTGGACAGGTCTGGGTTCTGAGAAGTTCACTCCGGCTGCCCTCGGTGGCAGAGCTACCGATGGGGTGGGCGACAGAGAGCCTGAGACCGACTGGGTGGGAGGTGGTGCCAGCTAAAAGATGCTAAGAGGTGGCCTTGGGCACGGACGGGAGCTTCTCTGGCAGTTAGCAGGTAGGCTGGGGGGTGGACGTAGGGACCAGGACCCGGGCCGGGCTCAGGACAAAGCGCTTTGCCCTCTTCCCTGTGTAATCTGTGCCAGACAGCCCGAGTGCCTGGACCCGCCGCCTGCCAGCCTCTCAGCTTTTGTCCCCAGTCCCTGGAGCTGAGCCCGTGTGCCATCCGTGTGTAAGCAATATTTGCTTAATCAAGTGGAATGCAGAACTGGAGCTCAGAGCAGATTTAGAGAGCAAAAAAGAAACATAAAAGGAGCAGAGCAACAGCCAGGACTCAAGGGGCTGGTGGAGAGGTTACCTGTCCATCCGGCCAGGCAGCAGCAGTGGCCTGTGACAGGATCACAGCCGTTGGCGTGGCTGCAGTCACAGCGTTCGCTGCAGTTCAGCCCAAATGTGCCATCCTGTGGAGAAGGAGAGAGGGGAAGGTGATCAGAATCCCCCAGAGGTTCATTCACACACGCAAAGATGAAACTGAGCCCACCTGGCTGCATCCACAGGCGTGTGAAGTTTGCAGCAAAGGAGGTGATGGTCGTGCCCCACTTTTCAATGCTCAGGCTCTGAGGGCCATGAGAATCATGAGCTTAAATTGTACATGAAAATGTACTTCACTGCATCTATCCCTTATGAGGAATGAGTGGTTGATTTTTTGTAAGGGGGGAAGAAAATGGTGACCACCATTTCTGTGTGCTCACAAAGGACCGACAGCCTTGCACCCCTCACTTCTCAGCAACCTCACAGCAATCTCTGACACAGTTCCTGGCATTCCTGCTTTAGAGATGAGACACGGCTGGAGAGGGACAGGAACACACCCAAGGTGCAAGGCGCAGCAAAGCCAGGATGTGAACCCAGGACCTCAAGCCCATGGGGACTCGCTCGGTTTCAAGACCAAGGCCCAGTGGCTAAGCATGGGTGGGTGCTGCTGGATAGTGCTTGGCTAAGTTCCCCACCCTGATCGCGGAAGCACAGACTGCAGGAACCAGAAGGACACAGAGACTGGGCCCTCACCAACCAAGGAAACACACCTGTGCCATCCCGGAGCCCCGGGAGGGGCAGGATCCTGAGGTGAGTTGGGGCTCAGTGGAGCACCAGGTCAGTTCACGCTGACCAAGGCGGGGCAGAAGGGAGGTAATGCCTGGGTGCTATATCTGCAAGTAGTTTGCAAATGACCACGGGGTTAGGACCAGCCGTGACCCAGCTCCAGGGGTCCCCACCCAGTCCGGGTGCTCTTCTCTGCGCATTCCCAAGTGCGGGTTAACCCCAGGGAGGGGGCGCTCACCGGGCAGGGCAGCTCACAGGTGTCCCCCAGCCAGCCTGGGGTGCAGGTGCAGGCACCATCTGCAGGGCTGCAGGCTGCCCCGTTGGCGCAGGCACAGGTCTCGTTGCAGTTCAGACCCCACATCCCACTGGGACATGGCAGGGCGCAGTCCAGACCCTGCCATCCTGAGGGGAGCGAAGGGGCTGTCACCTTTCTAGGCCCAGCACAGTCACCCGCCTTGTCCCACCCAAGCACGGCTTCCGTGCACAGGGTTGCAGCATCTGGTCCACAGCCCACTGGGGACCACGCACATCCCCTTGGGTTTGCCTCGGTCCTCCTGGGGACAGGAACCTGTGCGGCTGGGGAGCATCTGCCCTCCCAGGGGAGCCCCACAGCTGATCTCACAGCGCTGTGCTTGTGAGACAGGCTCACTCCCCATCCTGAGCCTGGCTGCTGGCCTCTGCCCTGACACCCGTTTCTCCTTGTGCCCTCCTCTCCTCGGGGGCACTGGGGGTGACAGCTAGCATGACTTCCCTCTCCCTGCCCTGGACCAGGCTTTGGCAATGGCTGGGTCTCCTTGGAGGGCCGGCAGCCCGACAAAACCTCTCTGTCCTTGTCCAGCTCTGGGAACCCGATCTGTCCCTCTGCCCCTTATCCCTAGGAGTGGTAGAAACTCCTGCTGGTGCAACTGCCTGGGTAGCTCCCCCGCTCTGTGCCTGCAGCCACTCAGATACCCTGGCAGGGACTGAGGACTCCGTACACTCCTGCTGTTGAGGTTTCAGGCTCCGGCTTCTTCCTAGGAGCCTAATAGAGACTCCCACCCCTTCGTGCGGGCAGGGGCAGCCCCAGCTGAGACCCCTTCACTGCCTGGGCCCACGCTGGACTTGGGAGGGGCACCTTACCTTCCTTGCAGGTGCAGGAGCCGTCTACCGGGGAGCAGGTGCCACCGTTGCGACAGCTGCAGACAGATGAGCAGTTGGGCCCATAGGTCCCCGAGGAACAGGGCACAGCACAGACCTCTCCCTGGACAGAGACAGGCGTGGAGAGAGATGAGAGCACTGGAGGAGGCAGGGGAATCCTCCTCACCAAAGATGTCCATGTCCCTGGCTCCTGTAAATATGTCACCTTATGTGGCAAAAGGGACACCGCAGATGTGACCAAGGACCTTGAGGTGGGGAGAGTCGCTGGGATTACCCAGACAGGGCCCTGCAGTGTGGCACGGCCAGCAAAGGTGAGGACGGAAAGGACAGGCAGGCCGAGCGCTCGCCCTGTTCCCGCACCATTCGCTGTGTGACCTCGGGCATCTGCTGCACCGTGCTGAGCCTCAATCCCCGTGTCTGTAAGATGGGAGCAGTGTTGTCCCATCTCATGGAGCTGTTAAGAAGACTCATTAGTTACTATGCAGCAGGTAGGCCAGTGCCAGGCAGATACAAAGCACTATAAAACGTACTATTCATGCAAAGATATAGTCAGTACCTCTTAGGAGAAGGACAAGCAAAACCCTCCAAGGTTTAAGCAGCAGGAGGCCTGGGAAGGGATGTTGAACAGCAGGGCAGCCCAGCGAGGGGGAGGTGTCCCCAGGGCCAGCCTCTGTTGACTGACACGGGAGCAAGCCAATAACAGGCCTCTCTGAAGGAATCCTGGAACCCAAGGACTGGTGTTCTCTCCTTGATTCGGGGGACCCCTAATGGGCCTTATCCGAGATGGGTGTCTGAATCTACATGGGTTTATGTTTGTCTACACAGGCTTAGGCAGTCAGTGCACACACTTGTGTCTCCCTATGCTGTTTGTCTCAGTTGTGTCTGGATTTTGTTTGTTTTTGTGGAATTGGGGATTGAACCTCAAGGTCTTCATACTGAACTACCTCCTCAGCCCTTTTTACTTTGGGACAGTGTCTTGCTAAGTCGCTGCCTAGGCTGGGCTCAAACTTGTAATCCTCCTGCCTCAGCCTCCCAAAGTGCCAGGATCGTAGACATGCACCACCACTCTCAGCTTCTGCTGTGTCTGTTTATCCATGTGTGCAGAGTTGGGTGTACATCTGCGACTCTGTCTTTTCCCGTTGGTCTCTTCCCTGACACCATCCCCCAGCCCCGCCCCAATGGGACTTGGGGCGCAGGAACAGCAGCTGCTTTCCTAACACAGCAAGGGCTGGGCAGACTCACAGGGCTGCCTCTGCCCACCCGGAGCCATGAGCTTGGGGAGGTGGGTCTGACTGACTCACAGCTAAGGTCCCCAGCCTCAGAACGCCCTGGTACATGATGGGCCCTTGATAAGCGCTGCCTCATTGAAACAAGCTGTTTGTGTGCACACACTGGCTTCCACTGTGACCAGAACCAGACGGGCTGGGCACCTGCCATATGCTTCCGTCTCACGCCAGCCCATTCGACAGATGTCTTCTGATTGGGATCAAAAGGAGCCAGGCCTGCCGAAGGCTGCAGGCATGCAGAGGGGACCCGTCTCTGCCCTTGAGCTTACTGTCCACTTCTTCACTGTCCACCTCCCCAGTGAGACTGGTGGCTTCGTGAGACCTGGGACTTTGTCTCTCAGGGTTGCGGCAGCACTGCAGCTCAGAAGCTGGCACTGCGAATGGGAATTCTGTGCACAACGCTAATGAGTACACAAGGGACCCTGCTAGGCTGGGCCCTGGGACTCACTGCTCATAGGAGCAGCATCCTGCCCAGCCTGAATCCACCCTCCCCGGGCTCTTGGGAAAAGGGAAATTCAGGCCAGATCCTGGGTCACTATTCCATGTCCTACCTGGCAACCGCTGTCCATCTCTGCCCAGCTCCGCCCGGCCAGAGAAGCGTCCTGTTGGCCTCATCCCCGTAGGGCGCCCAGACCCTCTGAGCTGAACGGGACCTTTCCAGTCATCCCCAGTGGCCCCGAGGGACCAGCCGCAGGGCTGTGTCTTATCCCCGCAGCTCCAGCCCAACACCTGGCCCAAACCGGCCCTGCACTCGAGTCTGCTGATCTCTTCACAACCAGGGGAAAGGACTGGATGCCAGCCAGGGTTGTGAGCTGAGACCAGAGATGAAGCTGTGGATTCGGCCCTGGGCACCTGCCCCTGCACCCCCAGCCCCACACCCACTCCCCAGCCAGGCCTGGTCCCTAACTGAGCCCTGCGATCCAAGAGGACAACAGGAGCCCCAAACTTCCTGTGTTTTGGCAGATGTGTGCGAACACTAGGTAATATCGGAGCTTTAACTCCTTTACCAATCACCCGCAGTCACTGACCCAATCAGCCTCACCCACTGCTTACCACCCAGGGCCCTCTGAGTGCCCTCCACCTTCAGAGTGTCTCACTCTGAAACACACTGCTGCTGCTGCACACTGGTGCCCAGGGCGAGTCACGCATCAGACAGGTGCAGTTTGGCCGGTGACCACAGCCCTGGTGACTGTGGCGGCAGCATCATGTCCACCAACCATGACCCAGAAATCCCTGCGATGTCCCCTGTGACCAATCGGATCTTCTGATCAGCTCACACTCAGCTGGCCTAGCACACAGAGCTAGTTTAAGTCTAATTAAAAGCAAAAGAAAACCCTTGGCATTTTAGTTAGCCTGGGCACGGATAATGAAGGATTTCCTGTAGGTCTGGGGATGTTCAAAACTGCTCCTGCCAATGCGCTGTTGACTTCGCAAGTGTCTGGCTGGGGACCAGGGGCTGCATGCATCCAAAGGGCTCTTATCTCTTGCTCTGAGCAGCTTCCTGCCTGGAGTGGGGTCCTTAACTCAGAAGAGAGCGGGGTAACAAGGACGGGGTCCAGGGAGGGGGCGTCCTCCTGGGCCTCTAAGACACCAGCTGTGTGGCCACGACTGCTAATGCACAGCTTGGTCCTGCCCACACTGCTCTGGACGTGGGGGATCCCGTGGTCCCTCTACCGAACAGGTGAGGCACAGACAGGCAAGTGACTTGTCCACCACCACACAGCTGATGCAAGGCAGAGATAGATTTGGAACTTGAATCAGCTGCTGGCCAGATGTTAAGTGCCTCGATGGGACATTCAGGGCTGCACTCAGCACCTAAGGCAGCAGGACATCCAGACACTATGGCCTGTGTCTTGAAGGACCACCCAGGCCCAGATGTCCTGGCCCTTTCTCTGCACCTAGGAGTTGATACATGGCTAGTTTCTTTGTTTGAGACAAGGTTTTGTGATACAGCCAGGCTGGCCTCAAACTCCCTGTGTAGTCTAAGTTGGCCTTGAACTCTCAATCCTCCTGCCTCAGCCTCCCATGCACAACCATGCCTGACCTGGGTATCTCTGTACTCTTCGTCCATCGGGCCTCTCTTCCCCATGCACCTCTCTCTGAAGGACTGAGCCCTCACCCCCGCCCCCTGCTGGGGAACACCTGCCAGTCCTGCTTGCATCTTCGTTCTGTGAATGGGAGCTGGGTGTGAACTCTTCCTCCCACCCTTTGGCCTGTTAATTATAGATGCCGCATCGGCTATT